ACAAAATTCCGATTTAATTGTAGTGTATAGAAGTAAGCAGTAAATTCCATCGATGAACATTTCGACATTGTCTTCAGCTCTTTCCTGTTGTCCAATATTGCGATTATCACTTAAGCCTCTCTAAACCTAGGTTACATATAGAAGCTTTTTTATCCTTGTGTTTGCATGTATATAGATTCCTGAAATGTATCTTCATTTATTAATTTTGTTTGCTGATTTCTTTGCTGCCCATCTGAATAGTGGTGGTAGTGGGAGAAAAAGGAAATTTTATTTATTTATTTATTTTAATTATTTATTTGGGACTCCTTTGCACATTTTGAAAAAATTGGGACTATAGTTGAAAATTAGGTTATGGTTTTCTTCTTTTCTTTTTACTTTATTTAATAGTATATTCGTCATTTTACGATGATTTATTGAGAAAATGGAATTAAAAGTTGTCTTCCGCACCTCAAAGTTCATATAGGGGGGTTTTTTGTCAATTGGAAAATGTGAGGTACTTGGTAATAGGTCCATACGTTGAGAGTATTGTGCCCATAAGCCTAAAAAAGACAAATAATTCAAATAGACAAATTACAACATGATTTCTCGTATTTGTTTGATTAAACAAATATAACAAGAAACCAATAAATATTTAACAAATGATTAGATAGAATAAATCAAGATAATAAAAAACCAATAATTAGTTGAATACGAAAATTCTACTGTAGAAGTTAATCCAAAAGGAACATTTAACCTCTGCACTCTACATATAGGGTTTCACCTTGTTGACATGACATTGAGATCGTTAGATATGGAGGGCCACCCATTCTAATTCATTCCATGAAGTTGGAAAAGAATATAAGAATGGTGTCTCGTTATGAAGTTGCCTTTGAGGCCTTTCAAGATCCAAGTCGACCTTGGGCCCCTGATCAAGTTCCATGTTCAATGTAATCTTACAAGCTTATNCTCTGTGTGGATTACCATTGGAGGCTGGACAATTGGACAGTTTGGATTGCAGATCGTAATCATTGGAGTTCAAGAAAAAGCAAAAGAGTTTGTCGAATTCATCAAAGGTATCATTCTCATCGCAGTTTCTATCTAAACACATTGCAGATCCTCGTTTGTGAATTGAAAATTGTTTTATTTTCGCTGTGCATGTTAAGTAAATTCCCAACACGCTCTACATATAGGGTTTCACCTTGTTGACATGGCATTGAGATCGTTAGATATGGAGGGCCACCCATTCTAATTCATTCCATGAAGTTGGAAAAGAATATAAGAATGGTGTCTCGTTATGAAGTTGCCTTTGAGGCCTTTCAAGATCCAAGTCGACCTTGGGCCCTTGATCAAGTTCCATGTTCAATGTAATCTTACAAGCTTATAGAATAGGCCCTTCATGATCAAGTTCCACGTTCAATGTAATCTTACAAGCTTATAGAATAGGCCCTTCATGATCAAGTTCCACGTTCAATGAAATCCTACAAGCATGTAGAATCATTGATAAGTAATAGTTACGAATAAAAGTATTGTTCCATAAGGAGTAAATTTTAAGTTGAATTATATTTATTCAGTATCGAACTCGAATGTAATCGAAACAAGATAAAGTTTTGATGTTTGTTTGTGTTAACTGCTAATGTTTCTCCTAAGTATTATTTAAGTGCACATGAAGAATATGTCTGAGAAGAGTGTGTTGAGATTTCGACTTTGCCTATTATTCTCCCATTCCAATTTTCAATTATATACTTAGGATAATTTGTGTATAATTGACAATGGATAATCCAAATTTATTCCACTTCTCTTTAGTGGTAAGCCAAAGATTTTTCTAAATATGACCTGAAATATCTATATCTCGATTCATAAGCAAAGTTATGCATTCAATTGCACGAATATCTATTTGATTGCATAAGTCATAAGCTATTATTTCTAACATATATTGAGTCTTATGTTGATTATTACAATATTTTATACCTATTTTGAAAATCTAGAAAAGGAAAAAAAAAAAAAGCAACATATTATCTAAATGGTGGTCAAGCATTCAAATAATCCATAAGCATGCAATATCAATCCAAAACACAAATCGACTAAGAAACTATCTTTCAATTAAAACGATAAAATCACGATTCTTGTCTTCATTTCAACACTAATATGTTTAGCAGTGTTGTAAATGGCGCGCCTAGGCGGAGGCATGGCATTTGAGCTTGAGCGTTAATTCAATTTCGCTAACGCTACTCAAGGCGTGCATTATTATTTAATTTTTTTTTTTCAATTCTTAAATGAAATCGTTTTAGCGTTATTAAGATCGGATTGAACCAGCCATTTCAACTAATAAAAAAATCGGTCAATTGGCCAATTTTTCCATTAACTGGATGACTTGAGGCCAGTTCTCCTGTTGATTGCTTATAATTACAAAATTTTCAACTTTTTAAACTTTTCGTCAATTTGATTGAAAGGCTCAAAAAGTTGCTTACCTACTTATTGGCCCAGCTTATGTTAGTTTCCATTTAAAACAAAAATCTTTAATTTTTCATACTCATTTTCAATCACAAATTTACACAAAATATTTTATACGTAAATCCAAAATTTTTTACCCATACATTCTTCAAAAAAAGAAAAACAATATTCGAAACTCTATTTTTACAAAATAATGGCCATCAAACAAGGGCTAAGTTATAGAGGGCATCTCCAAGGATTTTGTAGTGAGCTTTCAATGTGGGATAAGAATTCTTCTGATTTGGTTGTAGTTTATTGTACATTTAATTTGACTGTAGTGCATCTTAATATTTTATAAATATTAAATAGTTATTTATATCTTATTAATTTGATTAATCATTTTTCCTGTCTTTTACTAATTAATAAAAATTAAAAAGTCTCCAAATATTTTCAATTAGCAATCTTGTTTATCGTTCAAAAATATATTTATTTTGTTAAGCTCTTAAAATTGCATTTGGTACTATAATTTGTATGTATTATTAAATAATTTTTAAATTGATTAAAAATTAAAAATAATATTAAAATAAGAAAATATTTTTTTAATAATATCTATGCTTAGGCTTTGTCTAAACATGCCGGTTTGGGATTAATTTAAAAAAAAAATGTTTTTTTACCTCCAAGCCTCGCCTAGTCTGGAGCTTGCCCTCCACGCCTCGTCATATATTAGAAAATTGGTGTTTAGCATGGCATCTCAATAGTGAAGTTACAACTAAATATTTGGAAATTCATCATCAGAACATATAATTGTAGAAAATAGATGTAGAATCAATTTCTTGCTTTTAATCTTCAATTTTAAGCCTTGAATCTTCAATCTCCCGATGTTCTTTGCCTTCAACCTCTTCTTAGACTTGTACGTTCTTCATGTTTTAAAAAGAAGAATCCCAAAATTGGAAGCTCGAAGTAGGTTGAATTGTTGTCAAATTGCTTTCCAAAACAAGGACAAAATTGAAAAGAAAACAAAATCTTTTATCCGAATTTATACCATGCGATTATATAAATGGCTATGATAGCAGCATGGTACAACAATTTTATGTTATGCTTCTTCAAAATCATCTTTCAATCGCAATATTTTTGTGTCATGCGATCATATTTTCTTCTGTTTGCAGTTTGGTCCTTGAATTCAGCTTTTTATCTGACTTATTTCCCTTACAATTTCAATTAAGACCCTTCATCTTCCAATTGTATCAAGTTAATCCCCATTCTCTGAATTATGCACAAAACTCATCCTTATCGCCCGGTTTTCATTCCTTTTTCTTCAAAAACTCGGCCAATATCAAGTTTTACCTAGACAAATAATATTTATACAAGATTAAGCAATAATTCCTTAAAAATACTTCCGAATATCCACGTTTAAAGACCTAGATAAGTGTATTTTTATCCACACTTTTATACACTTATCAAATATTATCAAACTTGAACATTTGTTCGTCTTCGAACAAAATCATATATTTATCTCAACACACATACAGTCCATGAATTATTTGCAGAGTTTTAGCCTTCAAATAGTGGTTGAGAGTTTGGAAGATTCCAGAATTCTTGCTTTAATATCCTTTCCCAAGTTTCGCTGCCTTCATCCCCTAATAAAATTGTAGACACGCGAGACTCAAAATCTCATGCCAAAGGTCAGAATTACGAACAAAACATGGTTTGCCCACCTCATTCTACAAAATTCAAATACTACATTTCACATATAGTACTACCCAAATTTTCTCATTCCAAAAATATGAATTCAACGCCCAATGTCATGTCAAAGACTAATATGAAATCTTCGTAAGACCCTTTTAGCATGACTTTTGCTTTTGCTACTTATAAAAGAGTTTTCAGAATAAGTCACCTTAAGTTTTGTTTGGAAATTAATTTTTAAAATAGCTTCTTATTCCAGAAGTATTTTTAGAGGAATTCGCATTGGACTCGTTTCCTCTAAAAGTTCTTCTGATTAGAAGAATCACTTTTAAAAAATTAGTCAAATGGTCCAAAAGCAACTTTGGATCTCAAAAGTTATTTTTACATTTTGGAAGTCATGTCAAACGGACCATAATGTATTCACAACAGTCGGTAGAATGAATTGAGTTCAAGAAAAAATGGCCAAACTAAATGCAAGATTGATTCACGATAATGTAACATTATAACCAGTTACACATACTTTCTATTCAAAAATTTGTGATTGATAGCACTTGACACGAGTTATGGGATATAAATTAAAAAAGAAAAGAAAAATTAAATAATATAAAACATGATAGTATGAAATCATCAATTTTTTTTTTCCTAAATGACCAATCCTGGATGAAATTCTCAAGGTCAAAGTCCAACAGTCAATTATTTGAAGAAAAAAATCTGTAACTTCGAAATTGTGATATTTCGAATTGATGGGGTGAAGAGGATAGGGGTTGTGCATGGGATTGTTTCCTTTTTTTTTTTTTGGTGACATCTTTAACATTAAATGAAGAAGTGATGTGTAACATAAAAGCAATAGAGAGAAATTAATTGACATAGGTATCACTTTTAACTTTTTTTTTTTTAAGGAAATAAAGTTATTCATTCATCAAATCGGCAACATTTGAAATAAAAGAAGGCGGAAAATAAGACCAATCAACAATATCATGTAGTGAACTAGCGGCCTTAGCTAGTGTGTGAGCTACTTTGTTAGCCGATTTCCTAACCCAATTGAACTTGAGGTTCGACATTTCTCTAGCAATAAGACGACACTCTTCAATTAGGATACCAAGATAAGAGTTGTCAACTCCATCATTCTGTAGAGCACTATAAACCAAGAGAGCATCCATTTCAATGGTTTGGACTCCGGAGAAATTAGATTTAATCCAAGAGAGGGCCTCACGAACCCCCAAAGTTTCTGCGATAAGTGGATCAACAATACCTTAAACAGGAACAACTCTAGCAGCAACGAATGACCCCAAATCATCCCGAATTACAAGGCCAAGCACAAACTTTCTTTTGTTTTCAAAAGTGGCCGCATCAATGTTTAACTTGAAGGAACCCATAGTAGGAGGTTTCCACTTTTGATTCTTCAGTCTGTTGGGGGTATCTATAGGCCATGGTAGTGGCCGATTGACTTCACGCCACTGCTGGAGGAAATTTTTTGCAAAAGTCACCACTTTAAGCACCGTGAACGACTTATCTTTCCAAACAGTTCATCCAAATGGCTGAACAAATCATGGCGACTATCTCTTGTTCTTGATGATGAGTATTGAAGATGGCTATGAGCCAATATTCAAATGTGGAAACCATGGGGAAAGGACTGACCACTCCCACTGCCTCCCAAACTTTTTGGGCAAAATCACAAGAGACGAGAATATGGAGAGCAGACTCTTCGTGCAGTAAACAAACCGGGCAATGGCCATTAATGTCGACTCTTTTAATTCGCAATTGATCAGCTGTTGGGAAGACTATTTGCTATGCCTTCCAGAGTAAGTTACGAACGTTCGTCGGAATTTTACATCTCCATAGATTGTTCCAGAAGCTCTCCATACTAGTGTGAGAGTGTAAAAAAGAATCTTCCATCAATAGATTATATCCACTTCTAACCGAGTAAGCACCCTTCCTGTCAAGAATCCAGTACATTCAATCTTCTCTCCCATGGGTTGTAAGAGGAATTGTCATTATCTGACGACGGTCTTCTTCATTGAAGAAATCAGCAAGGAGATTATAATCCCAATAGTTTTCACCTGCTATAATAAGTTGAGCGAAGTGGCATCTTCACTCCCTGTGCGTGGTTCTGAAGTGACAAAACCTTGGTTGGAGTTAGAAAGCCAAAGGTCTTTCCAGATTCTAATCGAGGAGCCATTTCCCACTCAGATTCTGCAACCATCTTTGAGAATAGATTGAGCAGCAAATATACTACGGCAGACATAGCTTGGCCTATAGCCAATTTTAGCTTCCAAGAATGTTACTGATGGAAAATAACGTGCCTTATAAATCCGAGCGACCAAGGAATTAGGCTGTGTTAGCAACTTCCACCCGAGCTTACCGAGGAGAGCTAGGTTGGTTTTGTGCCACTTCTTGAATCCCATTCCACCTCTAGATTTTGGAAGGCAAAGCTTATCCCCACGCGGTCCAATTGATGCCTCTGTGACCCCTTTGATTAGATTGCCACCAAAACTTATTCATAATTCTCTCAAGTTCTTCACATAGCTGAATGGGGATAAAAAACATACTCATAACAAAGTTAGGAACAGCTTGGGTGATGATCTTAATAAGGATTTCTTTTCCTGCTCTAGATAAACACTTCTCTTTCCATCCATGCACTCGTTGCCAGACCCGATCTTTAATGAAAGAGAAGACCTTTCTTTTCTTTCTCCCAATAATAAATGGCAGACCAAGGTATTTTTCATGTCCTTGGAATGCCTGATACCCAAAATTGCGCGGATAGCAACCTGCCTCTTAGGATCAACATTGCTACTGAAATATAAAGTAGATTTTGGTAGTTAATTGATTGGCCAGATTCCATTTCATACTCATGTAAAAGCTCCTTAACTTCTGCACATTCCCTCGTGTTCTCTCAAAAAAACAAGAAGCTGTCATCCGCAAGGAAAAGATGAGTAAGGGAAGGGGCATTTCTTGCAATTCTACAGCCATGAATAGCGCCTGAGTCCTCTTTTGTACGAATGAGAGATGATAACCCTTCCGAACAAAGAATGAATAAGTATCGTGATAAGTGGCAGCCATGAGGCAATCCTCGCTTCGGGAAAATGGGTCCGATATTAAAAGCCCCGTGAGCAACATGATACCGAACCGTAGATACACATAAGACGATCAAATTAACCCAGTTTTGAGGGAAGCCCATTTGAGTCATCACGTGTTTCAAAAAACCCCATTCAAGCCGATCATATGCCTTGCTAATGTCAATCTTCAGAGCAGCCATGCCATGTTTGCCACTATTCTTCTTCTTCATATGGTGAAGAGCCTCAAAAGCTAACATAATATTATCATTTATGGATCTACCAGGAACAAATGTACATTGTGTTTCCGAGATAACATTTGGCAAAATGATTTTTAGGCGATTAGCAAGAGTTTTAGCCACTATCTTATATAGAACATTGCACAGAGATATTGGTCTAAAGTCTTGCATAACCTCAGGATTGTCTTTCTTTGGAATGAGGACAATTGAGGTGTCATTCAAGCTTGTGGGAAAAACATTTCTATTCAAGCAATTTAAGCACAAAGAAGTAACATCCTTATCGACGACCTCCCAAAATTTTTGATAGAAAGTCGGGTTCATACCGTCCGGACCTGGAGCCTTATCAGGGTGCATTTCAAAGAGAGCTTTGTGAGCTTCGTGATCTGTAAACGGGGCTGCCAGTAATGCTTGATGAGATGCTGAGATACGAGCGTTAATACTCCCAACAACTGGACCCGGATCCTCACTCTAGGTTGATGATTTGAAGAGATCATGAAAATAATCCCATGAACAGCCAGCTTCTCCGATGACCAATTACCATCTTTATCTTTGAGGCCCTGAATTTCATTTAACAGTCTACAAGATGAAGCTGCCTTGTGGAAGTATTTAGTGTTGGAGTCTCCTTCTTTTAGCCAAATCCTCCTGGATCTTTGCTTCCAATAGATTTCTTTTTGATGCAAAGCTTTAAAGTAATTTGACTAGGCTTGGCGAAACTCCCGTAAACCAACAGAATCTATTCTCCTTTGCAGTCAGCCCATAACAAATCTGCATTGCTTAATCAGAATGACCAATCTTACCACAGGTGAAGCAAAAAGTCGACACACGTTCGTACTTGAAGATCACCCAAATCCATTCACCTCCAGGTTTTTTGAGTTTCATCCTCCTTTTCAGCGGGAGTCTTACATCCATGAGAACCCTGATTCTAAGGAAAGTTTTCCAACCTTCAGAGAAATTCTTGGGGTCAGATGAAATATAAGTGCCTATGTAATTTCTAATCTAGGCAAGAACTCTGCCCGAACGAAGTTCGACAGGAACTTCGTGTATTTGTACCCAAAGGCTTGTTTCAAACAGATCAACTCTCATAGGGTTTACGTCCTCCTTAAGATGTTTCAACAGAAGAAGGTGATTATTGAATGTCCAAGGACCGTTTTCGAGCACACGGCTCATGTCAATGGGATGATAGAATTGAAAAACATAGATTCCAGCCCCCATTTCCTTTATGCAAACCCCTTTCTTCGGATGCCAAATAGATTCCATAGTATTCCTTATTGAAATGAAATGGACAACACGATCTGTATGGAATCTACCAACCAGGCAATAGCAATAATCAACAATTTCCTTCGTAGCATCACCTCCCTGCAATTCCACGCCTTGATCTTCATCTTCTATCACTAGTTTCGCATACAGATCTTCGAGAGCCATGGTAGAGACACCAAAAGAAAATATCCAAGATGAGAGAATTTAATAGACCAAAGTTTAGCTTGTCAAAAGACAAGAGAGAAGAGCTCCTCACGAGGAAGAGAGAAAAAAAATTTAATTAGTGAAAAAGTTAGGTATCGCTTTTAAAAATTATAAAATGAAAATACACTAATATTATGAATAAATAGAAGATTTTTAAGTAGAAGTGGTATGTTCAATTAAGACATTTAAAAACTTTTAGGAAAATAAAAAGTTTATATGTATTTTATGTAGACTTTTAGAGACTCTCTAAAAGTATTGGTGTATTCAATCAAGATTTTTGTAAACTTTTAAAAAGTCTTTAAAAGTTACGGTGTATTCGCTGCTCTTGTTTGAGCGTCATTTTTCCTCCCAAAATGCATTTTTGTACTACATCAAGTGGGCTACCTTGTATGACATGTGTGATATTAATTTGTGATATTTGGGGAAATTTTCCCCTTTCTATCCTTGTTTTGTTCTTCATGCATTTTTTGTCCATTTAACCGTCTGCCACCTGCTTTGAATTTTCGAAGTCTGCCAACTAGGTTGAGACTATTGACTTTGCAGCTAAATGCATTGGACCATGTTGATGAGTGCAACGTTTATTTTTATTGACTTTTTTTTTCAAATTTTTTTCGTTTATGACTTCATGTTCATCGAAGATAGAGAATAACCGAATTTGCCAAAAAAAAAAATGAATTTTAAAGCTACATTCATACAATGAAAAAGATACAATTGATGTGGACATACATACACATTCTTTCTCAATGTTGTTGTGCCATATAATCGCGTAACTTGTTCCCCTTATTGAGATGCATTTTAGGTGCATTCATTTCGGTAGCAATTTCATAGTCATCATTCAGTAGCTCTACCTTAGCAGCATTCGGAACCTTCTCCACTCTTGTGAAAGCCTCATCAACGACTCTGGTTCAACGAAGGAAGTTGTGAATAACATTGTTGCTACGACAACTGTGATTTATGTTTGAAACAAATAGTTTGGCATACGGTCCAGAGTTTTTAATCTTTGTTTCTATACACTAAATGCACTTTCAATGACATTTCAGTATGACGAGTGCTTGAAGTTAAACTTCTCACAAGTATTCTGAAACCTACGTCAATGACCTGTTATTTCATCACGGAACTGCTAAAAATAGTACAATATATCCGACCTTTTGTAAGGAACCATATATCCAAGTTGATGTGCAAATCCCGAGTCGAATAGGTAAAACGTACAGCTTGCGGGTTGCGGGAAAAGAATGTCTGGGATGTGTATAGCATAGGCTAATATGTACGCATTGTGTGTATTCCCGGTTGTAGCGGTCAACATAAAAGTGAAATATAAATTAAAATCACATGCGGCCAGTACATTTTGCATTAGTATTTTTTTACAGCTTATGAAGTTCACTTGCTTGTGACGTGGCAAAATAGCTCTAACATGCGTTCCATCAATCGCACCAATGCAGTTTTAGGTATCAGGTCTATGATGCTCTACACCTTCATTATATAAGTATCAGACGTGTAGATAACGCGAGAATGACACTAAGAACCTCTTTGAAGTTGTGACATACAGTTTGTAACGAATGATTGAATAACATAGTCACCTACCTGTACCACTTCCCATACGCTAATATGCACAATAACATTCCAACTTGCTTATAAATATCTACATGGTCGCCACGGAGGAGACCATACTTATCGGGAAGAATAGGTGTAAAATGTTGCAACAGCACGGGTACATTCAGAACTCCTGGTAGCACATTTGTCCACTGCCTCCCATTTCTCGAGAAAGGAAATTTATGAATACGATGCCGCTGTTTGCAATAGTAGTTACTCACATCGCGTTTCGCGATTCGACAATACCAAACCCACTTCATTATATCCTCTACTAACTCATTCAAATACTTCTTGTCGTCGACTTCTTCATCGAAGTCGGAGCCAGATATAAGAAGACAATTGAAGTTGACATCTTCCATAGCAAAATATAACTTTTTTATACTAAAAAATATGGACCAGAGGCTTGAAGGAAAACTTCTAAAACATGCAAGTTTATCTCTAGATATGTACACTGTGGGTTTAGAGCAACTCATTTATAGATGATTTTCACGAATTGATGCGTTTAGAAATTGATGTCCTTAGGTGACACTCACTTTTAATGAGCCTTTTTGTGCTCATTAAATTATCACTCAATCCATTCGAATTTCTCGTCGACGTTTGACATCATAGCAAGCATGTCCCAAATATGGTTTTGAGTTAAAAGCATACATGCATAATAGTACAATTTGATTCTTCGCACGTGCCTCCCGGTCGTCAACAACTCTTCAATACATGCCATTCCATCATTGTCAAACTGAGTTATAATGTTGTTGATTTTTATCATGACTTCCTCAGCGGCACTATTAGCGTGATCAACAAAGAAGGACAACTCGCGCATCAAAATATTCTTTTTCTTCCCATTTTTCTTCTTTGACACTAATTTCCATTTATCGCTGCTTCCTGCATTGGATACGTCCATGGTAGATTTACCTTTATCGGTGACTCTCTCATCATTGGGATCTCATCCCTGTAATCTTCGAAGCCACTTTCCTCGAATAATTCGAACCCTATTCTGCACAATTTCCTTGAGATGATGGCATACTTGTCACTATCGAACGTGTTTCCGAATAGTTGCTGACGTCAATTGTAAATCTCACTGACATCTTTATCCTTAAAATTCTTGTATTCATTGTTCTCTTATAGCAATTTTAAAATAATAAAAACAAAGACATTCATGTGGATTCAAATTTATATGCTATATAACACACTATGCATTTTACCATTATTCGAATAACCTGTTAAGGCTCGAACCGATAATCTGTGATGTGCTCCCAAAATTTGGCCAAAGTTGTATTTTGCTGAAACACATTTTTATGAGTTGGAACGTTTTTATAAGATTGCGACACACATCCAAATCCTAGCCCTTGATCTTTGACATTATTGATGGAGAAATATATATACATGCACAATACCATTTTTTAGGGCAGATTCATCTTCTGACTTTTGGGTTTTCAGAGAGAAAGTTTCATCCATTTTCTTCATGTGAAATTGAGATCAATGTACTTTAGCCTCTAAAATCTGTATATTTCTGAGTGATTACTGTAAGAATAAGGGGTTTCTTAAGGCGAGTTGAACATTCTTGAATGATTCTTTGTAGATCTTCAGTTATTGTTGAAGAGATAAGTATCTTGTACTTCTCTCTTGCATTGGAAGAAATAATCTATAACTTTTGTTGCCATTTTTAGGCTCTAGTACAACCGAGTGAATATCTAATTTATTGGAGGCTCAACAGGGGATGTAAGCGTTAGTAATGGTTGTCGAACCTCCGAAACTTAGGCCGAAAGAAATCTCTTGTGTTCAATCTTTTATTATCTTTGCAGAAAGAGATAGATCTGTTGCAGATCTAAAATTTTTTGGAATTACCGTTAAGCAAATCTTAAAGATATAGAGTTTTTACAAACTCGCTGTGTGAGATCTTTTAATTTTTGTAAAGTATTTTTCAAAAATTAGGGTTTCCTGGTTTCTTTTCCTTGATTTACCATACACTTAAACCTTCTGGAGATTAATCTTTGTCCAAATGCTCAACAAGGTCTTGGGAATTTGAGATAAATCTAGTACAAGTGTGTATTTGGAGGATCTTGTTGGAGAAATCTCTGAGACATAGACCAACAATTATGTTATTGTGTTCTTTATGTGTTTTCTCTACATATTCATTGATTGTGATTGAAACTAGAAAAATCTTGTATTTCTAAGTGTACTACTGTGATTTGTAACTGAAAATTGTTTGAGAGTCCTTGTTTGTGCCGTATTAATTTTTTTTTAAAAAAAACTCCTTTTGTGTATCACCTTTAATAAATAAATGGCTTCTGCTAAATTAGAAGTTTCACAGTTTGATGGAAGATGTGATTTTAATATGTGGAGTCCAAAAATGAAGGCAATTTTAATGCAAATGAGATGTGTTATGGCTCTAGATGATAGTTGGCTTGTCGACTTGCCTCATGCAAAGAAAACTAAACTTGAAGAGGTTGCCTAGAATACTATTTTCTTGTATTTGTCTGATAATGTGATAAGGGCTATTGGTGAAACCAAATCTACTTCTAAACTGTAGACTAAACTTCATGCTAAATATGTCACTAAGACTATTCCAAATAAATGCTATTTGTTAAAACATTTCTTTTCTTTTAAAATGGACCCTTCAATTGACTTGGATGAAAACTTGAATAAGTTTACAAAATTGACCGAATACTTAGCCAATTGTGATGAAAAACTTTCAAAAGATCAGCTATCTGTAGTTCTGTTAAACTCCATTAGTGAGTACTATAGAAATAAGGCTCTTGAAGTTAAATCTCAATCAAAAGAAAGTCATAGTGGAGATAATCTGTTAGCAAAGGGAAAAGGATTTAGTAAACATAATTTTCATTCAAAGACCTGAAATGAAAATAAGAATAAGTGAAATGATAAGAATAAATCCAAAAATAAGGCAAAAGTCAAGAAATACTATTATTGTGGAAAATTGAGTCATTTTATTAAAAAAAAAAGTTATAAGAAGAAAAATGAATCAAAAGAAAAGAAATTGGATGATGGGAATGTTGTCTTAGTCTGTAATAAAGAAAAGCTTAAAGATGTATTAGTCCTTGTTAATGTTGAAAAGAAGTTAAGTGATGAATGAATACTTGATTCAAGCTGTTCTTTTCATATGTGCCCAAATAAAAATGATTTTCTTGAAGTTGAAAAAACTATTGAGGGGGCAAGTAATGATGGGAAATAACATGACATGTAAGTAAACGTAATAGGAACTGTTAAACTATTGCTTGAAAATGGCAATGTTCTGTTTCTGAAGGGAACTAGATATGTTCCTGAGTTAGAGAGGAATCTTGTGTTTCTAGGCATATTGGATGACATGAAATTTGACATAAAGAGCATTTGTGACTATTATTTAGGTCATTGTGATC